ATACATCACATAACAATTAATTTTTGTTCTCGGAACTTTCAATTTGTGCATTGTCAATATATTATGGTCACAATATGTACATACATGTTTTTGAAAGGTATCTATCATAAAAACATTTAAAGCACATTTCTAATTTGCACTAAGCGCATTTTATGAATGCAACTTTTTTGCATAAACATGGTTGACCTATCATTGATATGGAAACATAATTGAAACATTAATATATGTGATAAATTATTGCGCATTTAACAGAGTATTGTACTTTGATCGGTAAATGGGGAATGTACAGTAATATATTAAAATTTTAGCAAAATTAAGAGAATAAGATACTAGAAGTAGTTTCCAGTTGGTTTCCTCTAGGATTTTCTGGCCGGATTTACTCCTTAGAATATATAGGAGTTTTTCTGGGCAAAATGGTTTGCCATTGCTTTCCGAGAGGTGGCGAGCGAATAAAAACCGATGTTAATACTATGGCTATATAGTTTGTACTATGTAAGGGCCGGATATTCGATAAAAAAAAAGATATCTATATTATAAAAAATGCAGGAATTCTATATTATAATCTATATTATAAAAAATGCATCAATCCTGCTTGTTTTCATTTATAAAAATAATGAACTAAGTTTGTTTGAAGTAAACTCTAAATATTTTGCGTATAAATATTTAGAGTTTATATATTTCACATTTCTTGGGAAATACTCGATTTATTTCGGTATTATTGTTGTGATATAAATGCAATAACTGCAAAAACAAATAATGCATAACTACAATGATGAAATATATAATTTGCATGTATTTGTGAAAAACAGAACATTATATTAAAAAAAAAAAATTTATCGAATAGCATGCGTCATTTGCGCAGATTGAGCGGCCTTTCGCTGTTCGCCGGTGATAACGACATCGAGACCCTGAAAAACGTAAAGGGCATGCGACTGGGACTTCGACGAGGAGGCATTCCGCGATGTTTCCGAGGAAGGCAAAGATTTTATCAGGCGACTACTCGTCAAAAACAAAGAGTACGTTTTATACGCGATCAAAATCTCCAAAATTTCAAACGTCTGTAACTCCAAAACTAATTAACCGAATCTTAATTAATTATATATGAAATAGGGGTAGAAAAAACTGAAAAATTTAATAGAATTAGATATAGATCGCTATCTTAAATATTGAGAAAGCTATAGGATAAAACACACTTTTCTAAAAAAAAAATTCCAATAAAATCTATACCGGTCAACCGATTTTAATAAAATTTGAGGAGAACATACTTTCTATGATACTTAATTTGTGTGAAAAATTTTAACCCGGTATCTAAAAAATTGTAGAAGTAGATGCGTGTACAAAAAATCCGTACACACACACACACACACACACACACACATACATACATACTTCCGGACATTTTTTACTAATACGATTTTTCGACATTTTAGAACATTCTAAACCAATTTCGATCAAAATCTAAAAAAATTTTTTTTTCACCATTCCAAAACTTCCTCTATGAGGAAGCAAGATTCATTCCAAAAATAACAATTTCTTTAGATTATTACACACATAACTATACTCGTTCCTTTTATCCTGCATACGCACTTCATATTGGATTAGCTTTTCCATTTATTTTTTTAACGCTTTTATAGCTTGTGTTTTGTAATAAAACGCAACTCTCGTGAACTTTAATGACAAGATTACATATATGCAAACGTATTGTGTCGTTGTCTCATAACAAGTGATTTTATGATCTAAGATCTCTAAGATCGAAGGTTCATCGAGCAACCAATGAAACCGGCACCACCGCCGATCGTGACAATTCACAAATCCAGCGGATACAGAGGCTACAGTTCCACGACCACTCAAGGCCAATCAAGCTCCACTTCTTCATACAATGGCAAAAACAATTCCACTTCCTCTTCATATAAGGTATGCGGAATGATATAAAATAATTACTAATCAAATCTATATATATATAAAGGAATATGTTCTGACTGACTGACTGACTCATTGACTCATCAACGCCCAGCCCAAACCCCTGAACCGAATTTTTACCAAAAGTATATGAAATAGGGGTAGAATTTTCCGGGGAGTGCCACTATGTGTATAGTTTTTTGTTACCGATTTTCTGGAAACCGGTTTTTCTAATTTTTCTAATTTTTCGGGAAATAATTCACCGAATTTCAAAGAATTGTAGATCAAATAGGGGTAGAATTTTCCGGGGAGTGCTATAAAGTGTATAATTTTTCGTTACCGATCTTTTTGGAAACCGGAAATTTTTTCAATTTTTTGGGAATTTATTGACCGAATTTTAAAGAATTGTATATGAAGTAGGGGTAGAATATATTTTACGGGGAGCGCTATAATGTGTATAGTTTTTGTTACCGATCTTTTTGGAAACCGGTTTTTTTAATTTTTCGGGACATAATTGATTAAATCTCAAAGAATTATACATGAAGTAGGGGTAGAATTTCCCGGAGAATTCTATAAAATGTACTATTTTTTGTTACCGATTTTTTTGGAAACCGGTTCCGAATGATCATATCTCAAAAAATTGTACATACAAAGTAGGGGTAGAATTTCCCGGAGAGTGCTATAAAGTACATAATTTTTCGTTACCGATCTTTTTGGGAATCGGTATCAGAAGTTTCGAAATTTTCGGAAAATAATTGATCGAATTATAAAGAATTGTATATAAAACAGGGGTAGAATTTCCCGGGAAGTGCTATAAACTGTGGTTTTTCGTTACCGATTTTTTTGGAAACCGGTATCTTTTTGGAAATCGGTTACGAAATTTTTCCAATTTTTTAGGAAATAATTGAATCTCAATTTGTGTACGACAGAATTGAACTTTAGTCGATAAAAAAATAATATTTTTTAATTTATAGCATTTGAGAGAAAGAGAAAGAGAGAGAGAGAGAGAGAGAGAGAGAGAGAGAGAGAGAGAGAGAGAAAGCGTACATTTATTATTCAGCGCCCTGGGATACAATCCCCTCAGGCGCAAAGAGAGAGAGAGAGAGAGACTATTTGCGTGTTTTATTACATATGTCCTCCGGGGCGAAGCCCGGGTAACCAGCTAGTCTTATATATTAAAGAAAATATAAGGTGTCACGTTTTTCGGTAAATGTTTACAATTAGGGCCTGACCTCCGATGACCTTAACCTTGACATATGTTGTCAAGGTCACCCTCCTGAGTGACCTTCAGAAGGTTTTAGTCGGGGGTCGCTTCTTATTAAAAAGTTATAAACAAAAAAAGGTTCGAAAATATAGCAGTTATTTTAAGTACTGAGAGGCATAAACGACTAATATTACGTTTTTCTTTAAAGCAGAGAATACTTACATGGGTTAAACAGTTAAATATTTGTAAAGCGCGTCATCTAAACTATACGTATTTTCATCTAACGCTTTAAACAGTTGAATATTTTTAAAGCGCGTCATCTAACCCATGTAGCATCTCGCATATTAACTTTCCACGCATGAAAAGTTCACGCATACACTTTCCACGCAAACCGAAGTTCACCCACACCCACCCCCTGCTTTCGGGGGAGGTGCGCTAGTCCCGAAATAGTTTACGCATGGGTTAGTTGACGCGCTTTAAACAATTAAATACTGTTAAAGCGCGTCATCTAACCTATGTAGATTAGTGACGCGCTTTAAACAGTTAAATATTTGTAAAGCGCGTCATCTAAACTACGTATTTTCCAAACTTTTTTTGTTAATAACTTTTTAACGAATAACGAGCGACGGCTAAAACCTTCTCGAGGTCATTTGGGGCCTCATGACCTTGACAACATATATCAAGGTCATTGAAATCGGTGAGGTCGCTAAACCTTTTTTTGTTAATAACTTTTTAATAAAAAGCGACCCCCGACTAAAACCTTCTGAAGGTCACTCAGGAGGGTGACCTTGACAACATATGTCAAGGTCAAAGTCATCGGAGGTCAGGTCCTAATTGTAAACATTTACCCGTTTTTCTCCTTTTATAAATATCCTACATAAATTTTATATAAAATTAGAGGATATATATACATGTGTATATATGCGTGTATAAAGAAAAACATTTAACATAAATATTTAAATATTTAAATTTATAAAAGCATAAAAATATATTAAGTACGAATATTGTCGTAATATTTTTTAAAAACAAAATAAGATTATTCAAATAAAACGAAATAATATTACTGATACATTTTTTGATATGATTTTAGGACACCTCCAGTGTCAAGATCGATTCGTCTGACAAACGAAGCATAAAGAAATACGGCTCGAAGCTCGACACCACCGGTAGTCCATCTCGATCCAGGAGCACCACGAAAGAACTCATTCGTAAGCGTTTTAATATACTATTTTGAATGATTTTAATGCAGTATTTAATATTTAATTTTAACATGAATATATTGAAAAACCCTTGGACGATTCAATGAGACCGCCACAGTTCACTCAAAAATTGAAGAATCTCACCATCAATGACGGCGAACATTTGGAACTCACGGCCAAAGTCGACGGCGATCCGGTGCCGCAAATTACTTGGAGTAAAGACGGCAAGGTAGGCGCATATGTTTGAAACCCATTTTCTAAAATTAAAATCCAATATAAATTATATTGAAATTGAATGTATAAATTTATCGTGCGATCCAGTTAAAAGTACACAAAAAGATATGGTTGTTCTTAAGAATGCTAAAATCGCGTGCGAGAAAAAAACGTATATATTAGAAATATATATTAGAAATTACTTACGTGTACAATAAAATTCTCTTGTAGATGTTGAGCTCGTCGGAGATAATTGATCTCAAATATAAGAATGGGGTGGCCACTCTCACGATCAACGAGGTATTCCCCGAGGACGAAGGCGAATACGCATGTCTCGCGACAAACAGCATTGGCAGTGACACGACATCCTGCAAGCTGCTGTAAAACGTAAGAACATCCACATTTTATCCGCGTGTTGAAGTAAAAAAATTTTAATTCAGTTTAATGTAATTCAATCTGCTTTAAGCGAGGATTTAATTTTGTCTTTCACTTTATTTTTCACGCTTTGCTTTCTTATGTCGCTGAGTTTAATTTTTCTTATCAGCCGTGGAGAACGCTGCCAGAAAGAAACAGAGCGACGAAAAATCGCCGAAGATCGTCGACCACTTAACGAGCAGATACGTGAAAGACGGCGAGGCTGTGACACTCGACTGCCGAATAATCGGCGCGAAGAAGTTCGACGTGGTGTGGCTGCACAACAATAAGGAGATCAAACCCAGCGAGGATTTCCAATACACTAGCGAGGTTAACATCCACAAGCTAATCATCGCCGAGATATTCCCCGAGGACTCCGGCACTTACACGTGCGAAGCTTTCAACGACGCAATAGAGAGCTACTCGTCGTGCACGTTAAGCGTACTCGGTAAGAAAATTGTCGACAATTGTAAATCGTTGAGCAGAAGAATCCACATTCGACACTAGGATCCATAGAATTTTTATTTTCATCCTTTCTACATTTCTTCCAGCTCCAAACGAAGAGCCGAAAAGCCCAGCGTTCGCGACATTCCCGCAGTCTGCAACAGTGAGTGAAGGCGAGTCGGTTACTTTCACGTGCAAGACTGATACCGCGCCTTTGAAAGGTAAGTAACTTTAGTGTAATAGTTTAGTAAGTAATAGTAAGTTAATTATGTAATTTATTATAGTTCTTATTATAATTTAAATAAATAATTTAAATAAGTATATATATTTAAATAAGTATTATAATTTAAATAAGTAATTTAAATAAGTAAATAATATTTCTCTAGCTTTTTTTCACCGCTTCGTTAAGCAGCGGCCAAACTGTTGCTAATAATATCACGAATTTTTTCAGTGACTTGGTTGAAGGATGGCAAGGCGATCCCCGAGACAAGCAGCAGATATCACTTCAGCTCGGACGGCAGCACGTCCTTCGAGTTTGGCATCAAGACGTGCACGGCCAGCGACGTCGGCCAATATTTAGCGCGTGCGATCGGCCAGAAGGGTGAGACGAACTCGGCGTTCGCCCTCAACGTCGTCAATCCCGGCGAGCTGTGAAATCGATCTTAATACCGGGTTACACGCTTACACGTCGATTATCATCGCGGTCGACGACCGAATCGGAACATCTCTAATACATTCTTCGCGGAGAATACGTTTCTGGATCACTTCGTGAATATTAAAGGGTACGCGTACACCTCGATGAGTGGATCTGTTTGTCTGAGAATAGGTTCTACAAGAAGAGTGTATTTTCCCCGCTCTCGTACGTGCTCTGTTCGTGGACGCCGTAACGATCTCCGAGCGATCGTTACCGCGTCTTCCACATTCTGGCCTTTCTGCTTTCGCGAAAATTAATCGAAATGCATGCGATGCGAGCGAAGAGTCGAGCCGGAGCAGCTCGGCCGCGGCGAATATTTTTTAGAGTGTATGACGTCCTTGTACAAAAAAAAAGAGAGAACTGGAAGACTAATATTAATCTCTCTTTCTCTCTTACGTCTGTATGTAAATTATTCTGGAACGCTGTATTTTCTTCCTGTGTGTTTGTCATAATGTCGCATGATCTGCGCGAATTGTCGCGACGCGACTCCCTGTCACGACGAGAATCATCCGAGTCTCCGCCGTCTCCGCACACAAGCATTACGGATAGCACGCGCAACTTACTACGCTAAAATATTCGGCTTTGCTGTATTACACGACTCGGCATACACTCGAGTACACGCAACTATTTAATGGGCACATCGCGGTAGCATCAGAAAAGAAAAGAGAAAGAGATAAACGGATATCATGTATAGGGTTTCGACGCCCGCGAACGTGATTTTTCCGGCGAGACTGCTAGCATCCTCGAACATCCGAACATACTTTTTGATATCACCATCTAAAAATCTCGTCGGAGGAATCCCTCGATGGCGTTAGATCGAGTTTGCAAGTATTGTTACGCGATATACTGTCGCAATGTGCCCTCCTATTCCATATGGTACGCACTGTCGTGTTTTACTTGTTTAAAGACTGCTTCCGTCAGAAAATTTACGATAAAATAAAACGTATAATTAAAAATGAACCTGTTGCGAGTTATTACACCGTCCTATCTTACTAACGTATATTACAAGTGTAATTTTTATTAATATTTTCCATACTTGTCTCCGAGTTAGCGTTCGCATTTGTATCGAGTATCTCGATGAGAAAGGGAATATACAGTATGCTTTTGTTACATATGTACAGAAAGCATTTGCATATAGTGATGCAAAGCTATTACAATTATTAAGTATATGACTTGGTATTTGTAGTGATTTTCGAATAATATGACAATCAATAAAAAATCACAGTAAATCAAAATAACTTATCGAAATATGCAGACATATTGTCCGTTCTCTGCAATGTCTTGTAAGTGGCTGTGTGTGCCCCTACCAAAATGGCACCATACTTATCAACCGTGTTTTCTTGCAAGCGCTCGATCGCGTCGCCTTAAATATATAAATAAATTTAATAACAATATTCATTGCCCTGATCGATGTTCTAATCGACGATCTCATCAGACAAGAGCTTATAGGCATCAGGCATATTGTGGAGTGGAGTGGCACCATCACGACTCGCAGAGAATCGCATGGTGTATATCTCTAAAATTTCTGCTACTTTAACTAATTTTCTGGACTTTTAGATTTATCTCTCTCTTCCTCTTTCTCTCTCACAAATAGATCGAATCATTAAATATTTAATCAATGAGTTACATAAATCAAATATGATCCAAGTTCGTTGTGTGTAAGTTAGCTGGATTATGTAAATTAAAAAATCTTCTGGCTGAGTTCTTGGTTAAGATCAAAGAACGAAATTTTCTTGGATCTCGAATAAGAATACTATGCAAATGTAAAATGATTGATTCAGGTTTCTTAGTATTTGTACATAATAATAGTACAGATAATTTAACATATATATTCGCTATGCATGCAAGTACAAATATGAAGTGAATGCAATAAACAGTAAAAATTTTTTTGTTGACACGTAACACATTTATTAAGGATAGTAAGGTCTTGATTAAACAGTCTTCTACGTTGCATAATGTATAATGTGTGGTTTATCACCCCTCATGTATCGATACAAGAATTTTTGAGTAGGAAAATATTCTATTGCATTAGAAAAAAAAAAAAGAAATGTTCAAAATATAAACTTAATCCCAAAATTCCCAAATAGGGATCTCGATATAATGATCATTTCTTGACGGCGAAAAACTTAAAGTTTCAAAATAAAGCTTTTTTTCCAAAGTGAAGATTGAATTAAGAGCTTTACACTTTTGTTCCATAAAAATTGCAATTTGTAACAAAGAGAAAGCCACGGTACAGGTAGCACTGTTTTTCCTAAAAGACTCGATTCAAGCTCAGTGGTCTAATGAAAAAGAAGAAGAAAAGATATAAACAATTGAACATTTATTTCATATACAAATTATATACACAGGCATACACGAAGCATTTGCATAAAGTGATGTAAAATTGTCACAATTATTAAGCATACATCATTTGTAGAATTTGTCATGATTTTTTAATTATATGATTAATCACTACAATATCACGATTAATAAAAATAAAGTCAACATGATATATCGGAATATGTAGACGTACTATCCGCTCTTTTAAAGTGTTCTTTGAAATTTCTGTTATGTTTATAGTTCCTGGATTTTTATTTGGATTTATCTCTCTCTCCCTTTTTCTCTTTCACAGAAATATCGCATAATTAAATATTTAATCTAATTACAAAAGTTTGTTGTGTGCAAGTGAGCTGGATGAAGTATACGTAGATTAAAAAATCTTCTAATTGGTAAAGACCAAATCTTCTTCTTAGTAAAGAACAAGGAACGGAGTTTTCTTGGATCTCGAATAGGAATACTATGCAAGTGTAACGTATGCTTGTTGTGAGTATGTCATCTAAATCTGAACATAATAGTGCAGCTGGTTCTGTCTCCATTTTTTCGCGAGTATGGCAAAAAAATGGAATTAGAACCAAGAAATATTTATCGTTGTTTTCATTGTTTTCAGAAAATATTTGACGTACACGAGGATTATCGTATATAACTCTCGCGCTCTTATTTTTCGTTGGATAAGAGAAGATCTTTATTATATTATTACAACCTTCCACATTGCATGTCTCTGTGATAGTTTTTAAAACCATTTTATCTCGGTCAGCAACATCTGCAATACATATTAATGTGAACTTTAAGTTTGTCTGACACCTACACATAAATTACGATACTTACCAATATAACACGACATAGTTTTAGTCAGTATTGGTACATCGTTTGCCGCAGAATATAATCTAATCGAATACAACGCATCTTGGGTTCTCCATATATCCTCATCAGGAAAATAGATGAAAAAATAGGTTTGAAAAATAATTAATTTAGCATTAAAAATGAAATATTCAGGAACCTCGGAATACATATCCCACATATAAGGCATCTTTGAACCTGATGTCCATACACCTGTGCATTGTTTAAATATAAAAGCAAAAATTAATATAATAAAATGTTTTTTATTAATAAAAGATAAGTTTAAGGATCAACATATTAAATTCATAAATAATAATAATGAAAAGGAATCCTATGACATAATCTCTATGAAAAATATATACTAATTTCTGCTTAAATTATATGTACGTATATAGATAAATCGTTTAATATATATTTGGCACATAATATTAACAAAATGTGCACATTGTGATAGCTGCACAATTAAAATCACCTGTATAAATATCATAAATATCAATAGTGTCCAGTGCATCTTCATGTCGTCCCACACCGCCCACAAGATACAATTTGTCTTTCAAAAATACAGTAATCATATGTCTTCTTTCAACTGGCATACTAAAATATTTGTAAAAAATTTTAACATATAACATTCTATGTATTCTATTACTTATCTACTCATTCTTATCATTTATCTAATTGTTAAAATATTTACTCTGCCTCAAGAATCCATTTCTTAGATATCAAAGAATAACGCCATACATTTTCGTTAAAAATTCCTGAGCCAATGCCATATTCTCCGCCACAAAGATATAAATCGTATCTTTTAAAAAAAAGATTACATAAAATAATCATTAAATAAATAAGACAATACTGTTTTACATAAGATAGAACAAAAAAGAAACAGACTGCATACTTCTGGCAGTGATTTGCATTCCTTCAAGAGAATTACCAGTCTTGGAACAACGTTCGATAATATCTGGAGGATATTCGAATGAAGTTAGCTCGAAAAAATCATTACCATCCCAGCAATGAATATATTGTTCACGGTTATTATGTTCACAAGATATAATACCGTATAAAATTTTTGCTTCCTTATTCTCGATGATATTTAAAGGAACTGTAAAATCCTGCCAAAGACAAGAGATTTTATTATTCGTAGAATTGTAATGCATCAATGTATAACAAAATATAATAGCTTGATAAGAAAACAAAAATAGATATGTAAGTATATATATATATATATATATATATATATATATATATACATATATATGTATATGTATATACTTGGAGTTAAAAAATCATTTAATATAAAATTTATTGGAGATATAGGCTTGTAGTTCTGTCTATTTTTAATATAGGAGAGTAATATATATTACTCTCAATGTTATTTTTAAATATATAATATATAGTCACTTTATGATGACGGTTATTCCACTCGCGTGTAACATCAACCAAATAAGATTCTGTAGCTCTTATATTAATGTTTCCAATTAGTTTTAGAAAATTCTCCTTCGACAAGTCATAAATTGAATCGAGTGGCAGTTCACTGAAACGATCTAAGCAGACATCCAATGAAAGATCTCGTAGCACTTTAACATTTAATTTTTGTGCCAGTAACCAAATTTTAATCGCATATATTGGTAACATAAAGTGTCTCTCAAGCTTGTCGGTTATATCTTCTATTAATTTATCTGCTGCGAACAGAACGCTTAGATCCAACAGATTCAAAAGACGAATGAGCTCTTTTTCATCATATCTCGTCGCAGATGTAAATATTTTATAATGCTGAATCCAATAGATGAAATCCTATAAAATTATTATGACTCATCTATTTCGGTTGCACAATGAAGATTATTCATGCCTGTAAAACTCGATACAATTTCAATATACATTTGTTTATTAAAAACTTGCGTTTTATATTAAGATTTTTGATATAATAAATTTGTTACACACAAAAAAAATCAATGTTTTGTACGCTCAAAGAGTGACTGTTTTCTGTGAACACAGCCAAAAATTAGAATCTTCTCACCTGCAGCATTTGCGAGGAAATGTGAGGATAATTGATAGTGTGTTCCGTTTGGTCGTATTCTCGATAGTCCGCGGACCAGAGCGCAGCAAAATATAGACTCTTGTCCATCAGTTTTTGCTTCTGAACTTCGAATCGCTTCTCTTTAGAATCCTCTTTAAGAATCAACGTCACTGTTTCCATTGTCAAAACCGCACGTGTAGTTATTAATTAGATATGCATTGAAATATGCTCGCCGATGTAAACGCAGAAACAATTAACTATAAGATTTAGAATAGCGACGGTTAGGTTGCGGAGTCGATGTACACAAAAATAAATAAGCGAGGATTATTGAAAGTTAGACTGGGTAGGGGAAGGTCTTCGCATTTTGGACAAAGGCAGAGATAGGGAATACAAACAGAGTTGAGTCACAGAGAGAAGTAGACATAGAATTTGAGATGGAGAAAGTAATATCTCCAGACCAAGAAGATCATCCAGCAATCACGGTAAAAGAATCGACACATAATTTTAATTCTTGATCTTTCATTTAATATCTTATTCGAACATGTATATTAGAAATGCAACAAAGTTTAAGTTTGCTTAAAATATTTTTTAGATTGAAGTTATATAGCTAATCAGGAAAACGTCAACCCTCGGGGTCACTGATTTTGTCGAAATTTTACTAAAATGTAGTATTGATATATTAGTGACAAATGCTGTGCGGAGACGATGCGCTTCTCAACCGTTGCCGAGAAAAAAATATAAAACTATATAAAAATAAAAAAATATATATATATATTGGCGGGGCTATTTACATATAATATTAAAAAAATTGTATGTATATTTATTGGTTTATTTATTAGTTTTTAGTCTAAGCTTAGATCTTAGGCAGCTCAATATTAATTTCCGTGTATATGTATTATTATAATACATATACATATATGTTCCAACTTATTCTGCGAGCCGATCACAGTCGGATATAAATAATTTTAATTATTGCACTAAATCTGATATTGATTTGAAATTTTATTTAGGGATATTATGTAAATAGGTATAATTAGTTATCTCATTATTTAGTGATATTTTTAAGAAAAAACAATTTTAAATCAGAAGTTTTAGTACAAGTAATTTTTGAAATAGTAATTATTTTTTTATTTATTGAAATTAATATAATTTTTACAAAGAAAAATCTTATTAGTTAGTGAATTTAATATTTACATTACAACTTTCAAATTAGAAGATCGGATTATTTCTTCGATTTTGTATTGCGTTTACTTTACTGTCTGCCCGCTATACGGGACAGAAAGTACTAATTTTCCCTAGGGAAAAAAATTGGTACTTAATTTAAGTAAAAATATCTAATTCTAAATAAATATGTAATTATATTAAGTAAATAAGTTATTGGCAGTATCTAAATAAATATTTTTCACAACACCTCCACGGAAAGTCCGACTTTCCATGCCTGTAGAGAAGGGCGAAAGTGGCCAATTTCACGCCAGGGAGGAAAGTTGACACAAGTGTCATTTTGTCTTTGTTACTCATTTTTAAAAAAGAGAGATAAAACGACGTTTGTGTCGACTTGTGTCGCTTGCTGGAAAGCTCCCACAAATGGAAGAGAAATTGAGCATCGAGTCCAATATCGTGCGAGAGAGAAACGTACAACGTACGCAAAAATTATAGATATTAATTTCAATAAATAAAAAAATAATTACTATTTCAAAAATTACTTGTATTAAAACTACTAATTTGGAATTGTTTTCTTTCTTAATAATATCGCAATATCGCTAAATAATAAGATACAACTTATTATACCTATTTATATAATATCCTGAAATAAAATCTCAAATCAATCAAATTTAGTGCAATAATTAAAATTATTTATATATTTTTTTTGAAATTTTATTGTTATTTTAGTTTTGTGTTATATGGGGCTTCGCCCCCCACACCCCCTGCCAGAGGCTTTGCCTCTGGACCCCAAACGCATACACTATACAGGCATTCAAAAGTCGAACATTTCCGTAAAGGTGTTGTGAAAAATATCTTGTGCACCTCGGCAATAATCGTTGCTTCTAAAGAGTGAAGAATCTTCGAAAGTAAGTATTTAATTTTTAAATTAATTTTTAATAATTTGTTATGCCAGTTATTATTTTATTGTGATTTACTTTGTTAATATACGCGGAAGGTAGTAATGTTAGTAATTCTGTCGCAATAATATGTCGACATATTATTGCGATATGGATTGCTATATGTATTGCAGTCTCTCTCATATATTGACCATTCCATTGACAGCTTTGTATTCTATGCAAATTTTTTGCCTGAATTGAAAGACTATCGATACTTTCGTGGTCCACGTGATAAATGCCGAGTTTCAATTCGAGTGTACCGATTTCTGTTAAAAAAATAACCAAGTTTATCGAAATATAACTCCAGAACTAATCAACCAAATCTTAACAAATTATTATAGATTTCATTAATTAATATTTTATATAGCTTTATATATCTTTTATATTCAAAGATTCTAATATATTTTGTTCTATATATTGTCGCGTTCAAAGGAGAAGAGGGGAAAGTCTAGAGAACCAAGATTATTGATTTTTTCTGGTTCAGTTGATCTTATACGGAGAGATATAAATTAGCGAAACTTCAGGGATGCAACACTATATTTATTTGCGTTGAACATCGTTGCATTCAATTTCCTTCAACTTTTTTAGTGGCCCCGAAAATCAAGACGCCATTGCAGGACGTTCGTATCAAGGCTGGACTTATTTTCCACGTGGATATCGACTTCGTCGGCGAACCGACGCCGACGCCGGAGACAACATGGAGTGTAGGAAGCAACGAATTGACTTCCAACGACAGGACGACGATCATATCGATTGGCTATCACACGATCGTGCACATCGTCAACGCTAAGAGATCCGATTCGGGATTGTACCATCTATTGCTGAAGAACAGCAGCGGCATAAATGAAAGCAGCTTCTAAATGACCGTTCTATAGATAAACTCGGACCGTCGGAAGGTTCTTTACAGTACGAGGAAATCACCAGCCAGTCCGTCACGCTCTCGTGGAAGCCATCCAAGGATAATGGAGGCAGCGAACTTACGTAAATAAATTTTTAATATGTATATTTGTATAAATAACACATGTTAAAATACATAAAAACTATTTCATTTCTCTTATATTTTGAGAAGGACGATTTTCTATATTACAGCAATTTTACTTTATTTTATACAACCTTACGTATAATATTTCGTAAAATCTGACTGAAAAGTACTAGACAGAATTTTGTTCGCGATAATTCAATGGTAATATCATCTTCGTCTATAGCTCGTGTTCATATGGAACCCGCGATCACACACACAAAATAATCACGATTATTTGTTGAACTCTAAACAATAAATAAAATTATAGATAATCAAAATGTAATTACGTCCATGAGAGACATAGCAATTTAAAGAGATTACAGTAAAAGGAAATTACAGTAAAATCGCATATGGTATTTGCAATCATAACTTGTTTAATCTATTACAAATCGCAGATCTGCATCGCAAAAGTAACTTTGATGTGTCATATTATATGTATATCAAGATTTAAAGTTGGAATACCCCTCTCGATAAAGACACAAGAAAATGATATCTCTTAAATATTTTTTTGTACTTAAATAAATATGTTTTATTACTCGAAATGAATTCTTCTCACGACGCATCATTAGTTATTTATTGGCTAAGGAAAAAAAAACTATCACAGTTGTATAAAGATTGCCGTAAACAGGAAAGTTATTATTATCGCAAACGATACCGTGTTTTATCTGGCTAAATTTTTCTTAAAGTTTCGTGGTGCCATGTTGACGTCGTAAAAGTAACGACGATAAGCGCTGTCACAATGAGACGGCCAATCTTTAAGGCATGCCGCATACGCTACGACGTGAGCAATGTAATTTTGCTCAAAAGTACCTCGGAACAAGTGCGAATAGGGGCCTGCAAAAGATATTATTTATCCCTTTGTTTTCTGAAATTGTTAGCAAAAATTTATTAAGAAAATTGCATTTTTTACCAGTAGCATAAACCCCGACATCTTCTCCGGCGTGAGTCTCGGAGCTGAGGTATTTGCCAGCAAAGTGCCTGTAGAAGGGTTCGTCGCGAGTCTGATCTTCCTCGACTTTTCTCCAGGTCTCGTTGACGTTGTTGCTGTCGGTTCTTCGATGATAGAAGAATCCTGGACCGTTATCGTAGGACAGCGTTTCGTAGGCCAAACTAGATGACTCGTTGGCGAAACCGAAAATATCGTTGCCTCTCTCGGGATATCCGTTCATTGTAAACGAATGCGAGTGATCGGCTGTGACAATGATTAACGTTTCTTCTATATTTAACAGCCGTAGAGCCACCTTAACTGCCTCGTCGAGTTCGTACAACTCGCGCAGTGCCAGTTTCGGCCGATTGCCGTGGTGGGCTGTATCGATTTTGCCACTCTCGACCTGAAAGATCGAAGTGTAGTTGAAAAAAAAAGAAAAACTATCAGTTTACTGTTAATATTCCAATTTCGAGTTACTCTGCGCGCGATACTTCGAAAACAGAACAAGATTGCAGCGCTCTCAAATTATGCGTAGAATTATGCGATCAAATAGCACGACCTCGACATGCATCTGGGAAGATGAAGTCTAAGAACAAATGGCTAATTACACGAAAATGGTCATCAACGCGTAATTTGCATTAAGAAATAACATTATCGTGTATCCGTCAGGATTCTTTGATGAGTAGTCTCGATTTCGTTTCATTAATGTCATTTTAATATTCATTGAGTGCATTGTCTAACAATCTGACTTACGTCCGTTATAAATATTTAATGCTGTTCAGCGGCGACTATATACACTGTTTAATAACCCCATCCCCCCCCAAAAAATACACAAGAACGAAGGTAATCGTTTCTCACAATTTTTTAGGCGCTAAAAACTATCATGTTTACCAAATTCGTTTATTACTTCACAAATCTGCGTTAAAATTACAAAAAAGAACAATTTCAATATTTTGTTATACTATGATATGTGATATGCCGGAGAAGTTATATCGCGATCAAAATTAAGTATATTGTTAGGACTTTCAAAGTTGCGACTTACAGGCCAGTTACGACTTAAGAATCTATCAAAGATTTTTTTTTTTAATGTGTGTATTTGGAAATACACAAAAAATTTATTATTTTATATCTCTCGTTTTAATAACGGCGTGCTGCTCTTATTCGCCTTATGTAATGATACTGATTATTTTTTAATTACGTTATTTAAATTCAAACTGGAGCAATTTAATAAACAAGATTATATTTAGCACCAAAAAACTACGGGAAATTATTATCCTTTCTCTTGTGTTAAAAAAAAAAGTCATTTTTTGTTGAACAGTGTTACTAACCATTAGCAGAAATCCATTTTTGTTCTTCTTCAGCAATCGTATGGCTTGCGTCGTCATATTCGCTAGCGAGGGTATCTCGTCAGTCTTCACAGCGTGGAAGGGCATGTGACCAGGTGAGAAAACACCAAAGATGTGCGATGTGTTAGCTATATCGATGGACATGAGGTCCTGCATGTTGGTGACGGTTCTTCCTTTGGGATGACTCGCTTGCCATTCGTCTACTAAGTTTCTGCCATCAGATCGCTCGCAGGAGGAATCACTCGTATTCAATTTCAAGCCCACTTGTTGTGCTCCGCCACCTAAGATAACCTTTTAAAAAATATGGATTTAATATTTATAGATTCAAATTGCAATAGCGAATTTAGATTAGTTGAATACAGAATATTATATCATAGATCGTAAGTTTGATAGGATTATATATTTCCCATTGTGGATATTTCTAATTATAATGTGATAAATCTTTTTTTTTAATGATACTAATAAACTTTTTATTATCATGTTCTTTTGTGTATTTATTATATACAATTTCTATTTGTTGTTAATTTGTTAGATTTGAAATTATATTGATCTATACAAATGTAAAGATGCGCAGATGCGACAAATTACCTTAAACTGACTTCCTGGTTCATCCTCAATGAGTTGTCTTGCGATGTCTTTAATGCATGATTGTTGATCCTTCGGTACCTCACTATCGCATTCCCAATGTCGACGATTAACGTGCGCGTAAAGTCCCGCCGGAGTGGCATGGGTGATGCGAGTAGTGGTAACAAATCCTGTTAATTAATCATGCACAGGTTATTCTTCAAATTGTTTGCTTCTGAATAGCAATAACAATGATTAGAATTAAAAGTCTTCAGTAATTTCATACATTAGGATTCTAAAGTAATGTGATATACTTAATATGTTATAAATATAAAACTTCTGTTACATAAAATATGTATACTATATATTATGTTGCAATTTGTAAAGATACTTTGTATTGCATTTCGACGCGCATAGTCTGACTGTTCGCTGATGATTTATTCATGCAGAGCAACGTAACGAAAAGATGATCACTGGCGAAGCTCAAGATGCAATGGGAAACGAATGCGTTAAATACTAATCAGCGAGTCATGTAAAAAGCATCGATTATTTTGCCAAAGTAGAAATCAGTCATAACCGACCGATCGTCCGCGACACGGTAGAAGGTCGGCTTATGACCTCCTCGTTTATTAAGTATACTTTTACTGTAGTGTATAACTTCAACAAGGTTCATTCAGACTAACACTTAATTCGATTTTAAGATTTTTTTTTTATTAAGCGGTATCCATAATTAATGTAGAGAATCTAAGCCGATTTTTAGTATTTTTTGAATTAAAAAAAAAACCTAAATTTGAGAAAGTTATAGCTTACTAAAGTTTCTTTGATGACGGCATCTTTAAAAGGTATGACGTCATTTTTTATATAAGGTATGACGTCACAGCACATTTTCGTGTACTATATATTCTTCAATTTTGAAGATATTGCAAAAATTCAAAAAGTTTACAAAGAAAGTATGCCATGATCTATCAGACCGCTTAATAAAAAAATTTATGTTAAAACCGAATTATGTTAATGAAATAGCCGATCACGCATGACACGTGTTCTCTATAGGACTGATACTCGTAATCATTCGTAAATCACGTGAGTACAATTTATATTCGAATGCCGCTTCTAAAAATATCCTTAATAATCTAAATGTTTCTTCAGTCTAGTTTTTAAGTTTTTGTCTGAAAACGATGGTTATATAAAGAAATAAATATTAATTTCACTAAACCAGAGAGAAGTTAGCATCAAATATATAAATTATATATTTCGTAAGATTAACTTTGAATTATTAGCAAGATTTCAATTTGGATTTGTTTGTTTAATATAAATTGTAATTAAATAGGTATGTATTATCAAACGATTATGATCAAATTTACTACGTATGCACGATGAATAAATTATATGCACCAACAAGAAAATTTATGAAATTAAATTAAAAAAGTAAAATCATATTTTTAATAATCCATACATAATGAGATCATGCGTACAATACTAAACTTGATCGCTTAAGCTTATTATATGTTGATGATAAAAATTTATAGATTTCTTATCTCAATGCTGTACCGTGCAGAATTTGCTTAATCAGGAGTTTAATCAACCGACAACGGTCGGCGATGCATGAGAGATTTCGATCTGTTTCTTCTGATTTATGTTCTGATTTAAGGTTTGATCTGACTGTGTTGAATGACTATTATTGATTATGCACACAAAATTTGTCGACCGAACAAAATTTCAAACGGCGAGTAATAGCAACTCTATTGTCACAGCCGAGTTCTTAGTTAGCTTGAGATTTTTTTTCGGTGTGGTTGCTTATAATGCCTCGCCTAAAATTATTTTCTTACAGCTCCATAAATAATTATAAGCTAATTACTCCAGGTAGAATGAGATAATCTTATGAAAAATAATTCGTGCAAAACTAGAAGGTGTAGACAATCTTAAATCTTTCAGTTAATGGAGAAGAAAGATATATAGTATAGTTTTCAAAGGTCAAAGCTCTCACCAGTATCCATGCCGGATTGCTGTGCCCAGTCAGCTACCGTGGTGACTTTGCTTAATGCGTTGATTTTCTTATCACATTTGCCATATTCAGCTCTGGCATCCAGTCCAATAACCCTGTATTTGGTTTTCACGCCAGAAAATATAGCAGTTGCCGTCCCTGCCGAATCCGGTACTTGTTTGTCTACGTTGTAAGTCTACAAATGCATGATATTGTGAGATATTTATATTTAACGTGTGATGTGTAATTTCGATAACCGATAACGAGTGTTCGGTTTAAGGAAATAATTTTTCTTACATTATCGGCATTAATCGAAATTTTCGAAGCACGAGATTCGACCGATATATTGTAATCGTTGTCACGTTTTTCTTTTCCGATAGCGTGATAAAATATATTACGTCATGTAGAGGCGTGATATAAGTTAACAAATTCTCATGACAATTTTCAAGTTAACAAATTCTCACGAACATCGTGTTTGTCGTATTTTCTTGTCAAAGATAGACGCGGCATCCTTATCAAAAGCGCGGAATTAAGCGGCTTAACGTGACGGGATTTCCCAATATCGTTGCGCCTCGCGAGACCGCCCCGTCGAGATTGAAGGCACGATCGATGCAATTTGATGTCTACCTTGGCGAGGCCGGTGTTGGAGAATTTCTCGAACGCGAGTTGGTATTCTTCACCGCTTTGGCCATTGAGCTGACCTATAAAGATTCGACCGGACGTAATGGTGGACAGGCCCATACCGTCCCCGATGAAGATGATCACGTTTTTGGCACGATTCTCGTTTTCCTGCTCCAACAGGATTCTGTGCAGAGTCTCTTGGCCGGACTTCAGCCAGAAGAACATATCTGATAAGAGATCAGAATTTCGCTTTGATGCCAAGGAATACAATCGATTGATCGTGGTATGACGGAATTAAAACCGAAATTTTAAAAATATTGAAAAAAATATATATTTAAAGGAATAATGAGAAGTCTTCCATTATCTCTTAATAACTACTATCTAAAATGTAGTTTTATCTACAATATATATAAAAAAAGATAAAGTAAAATTCGATCAAAGTTAAGTTACTATAATCAATGTGTGTAAATTAAGTTTAAGACATTTGCGCCGTGTGCTTATTGATTTCCTAGAACTTTGCAGGATATAATTTGGAAATTAAAATAATAATGTTGTTATCAATGAACAATTTTGTATTGACAAAAGCTATTTTGTGAGATATATCTCGACACTTATAACTTGCAATAATAACACATAAACAGCTTGTTAATTAACAAAATATCGATGCAGAAAAACCTCAGGCATACAGTATCGATACTGATCGATGAAGGCCAAACTTCGCATATTATTTTATCGATTTTTTATAATAAGACAAAATTTACGTAACTTTGATTTGATTGATCAAAGCAATCTGCTTTTTTCCAGAAATTTATCAATGAATGACGCAAAAGTACTTTAAGATTCTAAGATTCGTGATTCGATTTCTTTGAGATTCGTAGATTCTTTTATATATTTATAGACACGTTTAAAATTTACAACGGACATATGCTTATTAATATCATAATTATGAAAAATTTGAAGAACATGAAATCTAAAACTTATGTTTGTAATATTTATGTAAGAGAACTTTGACATCTAATTTGAATATATGTCAATTATTTTATAGTATGATGATTATAACAAACCTTCATAATCCGTGGATCCTTTACGTAGCGCTTCGGAATCTCGAAGAGCTGCCACAATGCAAAGTAATAGAACGTAGTGCTTCATTGTGAATGTTTTTTCTCTACAATAAATAAAAAATTCATCATTATTATTCTATAAAAAGAAATTTTCCTTTTCGTATCTTATTATCAGTGATGAGTAAAATTATATTTATTGTTTATTGTCAAAGTTATTATTAAATTATTATTATTTTTATTAAATTTAGAAATGTTAGTTTAATTATTCTTATTATTTTAATAGTACATTTTTCTGATTAGGTTCTTACATAATTCTCTTCAAACCAAATCAGAAACTTTGGTTTGTCAGTGAATAATTAACAATAAAGATTTTTACTCGACTCACGGGTCACGTTTATTAATTATAACCGTTAAACTTTGCAATCATTGGCTATGATCCTTCTTAAGTGTAAATCTAAGTCATAAAATCAGTATAACGCAGCCTTCAACAAACATTTCACTAGTCATGACATTGCACCAAAACAATTGTCATAATTCATAAATCTGAAAGATGTTCCATGTGTGTCATATATACGGTAATGTAATACATGTAACAATGTCTCAACTTTATAAAACTTATGAAAATAGTATTAAAAGAAACATAGCACCATAATGGTCGGAATGTCGTGACGATTATAATTAATAAATGTGGCCAGTTAGGTCGAATAAAAATTCTTATTGATAATTCTCTTTGTTTCATGCAAACTGTATGTCATTAATGATCTCTAAATCATTAAACTGAGACTAACTTAAATGTGAATAAACTATGTACACATAATTAGTTCTTGAGAATTTTCAAGGAAAATTGTTATCAGCTGCATTTTATCGTGTTACTGGCATTTTTCCACGTGTGCATGTTTCTATTTACTAAATTAGATAATTGTAAAAAGAGAAGTTATTTTTCCTTCTGTTTCTTATGTCGACATTTTAAATCCACTTTAGACGATTTGTAATTTGTGTCAAATTTCAGAATAGAATTTTATTTATTCTTTTATATGTTGTGTATTTTGATGTAATATATATTTTAATATATATGTTAAACGTATAATGTTTTAATATACACGTATTTTAATATATTTAATGTATACATATTTAATGTATGTAATATATATTTAATGTATGCATTTTGAGATTCTTCGAATGTATTACAGTTATTACACATAAAATTATAAACCGTTTACAAACGTTTGCAAGTACTTCGCGCACAATTCTGTTTGTAATTTTCCGTTTTTTAAGCGGAACACACAACTATTGTACAACTTCGTAATTTCTTTGCGAAATGTACTTATTGTTATCTTGATTGAAAATTGTTTGGTAACGACAGCATGTAATTGAGTATAATTAAGTATAATTACACGCTGACCACGATTATCTTTATTACTTTATTACTTTATATGCGACATCTTGAAGAACCTAAGGAACAATTTGCTTGTCAACAAGTTGAGAAAGAGAAAAATGATATTTAATATATGTTGTATTGTGTTTATATGAAGGGATGAAAGTTATAGTGGTGTAAGTTAAATTTTTAAAAATATTAATTTCTGTGCATAGATGCAATCTATACAATATATACATTGCATCTATGCACACAAGTCAATATTTTAAAGAATTTGATTTACACCACTATGACTTTTACCTCTCCATATACTTGGACATTAAGCAATAATATAGATGTGTATGTGTCAATATTCATGCCGTGTGTACAATCTTAAATAATTTTTGATAATCGGATAATTTCAAGATAAAAATAAAAATAAAACTTTCGCGCATCATTTACCGCGCTTGGTTCTTAGTTAGCCTGTTTTCTATGTATATTCGTGTATTTCCATTGGAGCCTATACTTCTAATTTCAAAATAATTTTTATTTATAAGTATTAATTGCATTAAGTCCTCTATTTTTTTTTTATAAAATTTAGAATGTTTAAAAAATTGTATTATACCTATTTCATTTAAATGGAATAGAAATAAATGCATTTTATTATTTTCCAAGTTTGGGAAGATAATTAGCTCTGTATTATTACTTAACTCGCTAATAATACTTTATACCAATTCGGCATGTAATAATTTGGTAAAATTCCCGGTTATTTATTTCTATCAAATCTATATATCGCGAGATTAAATTGACAATGTTTCAGAACATTATTTGAACGACGATACTGATTGACGATATTAACGTGTATACATTCGAACGGGGTCGCTGGCCGACCTAGTTCCTATCTCGCTTCCTCTACAGCAAGCTTGATTGTTCGAAACTTCTCACGTGTTCCTTAAGCACCCCGAGATGCAGCTTTAATCTTGCACGCAGCAAATGGCAAACCGAGTTACCACTTACCTGAGGTGTCGTAAAGGAACTCGGTATATGATGTGTCACCACGACGGTGTCAATTTGATTGGATCTGTCGATACGTCAATTCAACGATGTCTCGGCAATGCGCGTCTTAAAGCGTGACATCGTCGGGAATGAAGCACGCGGCACAGCAAGCGGCGTCCTTTAAATCGCGTCTCGTAATCACTTCGCCACTTCTCCAGTCGATCAGTCGCCGATAGTATCCGTAATAAAAACCGCCCGCGGCCGGCTCTGACTTCCCACATAGCAAAATATATCACCAAGATATCTGCAAGATATCTGTATAACTACCAGAATGTTTGGGAGCCGATCTCGACGAGATTGTCCCGATTGAATTGCCGGGATACGCTTCAGAGATGAGCGCGAAGACAGTCAGTTGCGCGAATCCTAATATTCGCTGAAGGATCGTGAGCGAAAGAAGACTTTGAATCATCAGCTCGTTCGTGCGGTAATTGACGATCCTTAATAAAATCTCGTGTTGTTCGTTGATCTGTGATTCTACTGAAACTGAATATTGTTTGCGTGCGGTAAAAACTGAGTTTGCGAGCGGACGCCCGTATTATTTTCGCGATCGTCTTCGGTCTGGCGATCAAGATCTCCGTCGGCCGCGAGCAAGATGTCTGACTGCAAGATCTCCGTGGGTCAAGGTGAGTAGGAGGGATAGGATCTTTGTTCCGGGACGACTGGGCACTGGTTCCCACTACTTCCCAGGGCAAGTGATGCGAGTTACTCGTATTCATATGGAACCCGCGATCACACACACAAAATAATCACGATTATTTTTTAAACTCTAAACAATAAATAAAATTATAGATAATAATATATCATCAAAATGTAATTACATTGCATCCATGAGAAACATAGCAATTTAAAGAGATTACAGTAAAAGGAGATTACAGTAAAATCGTATATGATATTTGCAATCATAATTTGTTTAATCTATTACAAATCGCAAATCTGCATCGCAAAAGAAACTTTATTGTGTCATATTATATGTATATTAAAATTTGAAGTTGGAATACCCTTCTCGATAAAGACACAAAAAAATGATATCTCTTAAATATTTTTTTGTAATTAAATAAATATGATTTATTACTCGAAATTCGTCTCACGGCGCATCATTAGTTATTTATTGGCTAACAAAAAGAAAATTATCACAGTTGTATAAAGATTGCCGTAAATAGGAAAGTTATTATCGCAAACGATACCGTGTTTTATCCGGTTAAATTTTTCTTAGAGTTTGGTGGTGCCATGTTGGCGTCATAAAAGTAACGACGTTAAGCACTGTCACAATGAGACGGCCAGTCTTTAAGGCATGCCGCATACGCTACGACGTGAGCAATGTAATTTTGCTCAAAAGTACCTCGGAACAGGTGCGAATAGGGGCCTGCAAAAGATATTATTTATCCCTTTGTTTTCTGAAATTGTTAACAGAAATTTATTAAGAAAATTGCATTTTTTACCAGTAGCATAAACCCCGACATCTTCCCCGGCGTGAGTCTCGAACCTGTTGAGGTATTTGCCAGCAAAGTGCCTGTAGAAGGGTTCGTCGCGAGTCTGATCTTCCTCGACTTTTCTCCAGGTCTCGTTGACGTTGTTGCTGTCGTTTCTTCGATGGTAGAAAAATCCTGGACCGTTATTGTAGGAAAGCGTTTCGTAGGCCCAGCTAGTTGACTTGTTGGCGAAACCGAGGATATCGTTGCCTCTCTCGGGATATCCGTTTATTGTGAACGAATGCGAGTGATCGGCTGTGACGATGATTAACGTTTCTTCCATATTTAACAGCCGTAGAGCCACCTTAACTGCCTCGTCGAGTTCGTATAACTCGCGCAGTGCCAGTTTCGCCCAATTACCGTGGTGGGCTGTATCGATTTTGCCACTCTCGACCTGAAAGATCGAAGAATAGTTGAAAAAAAAAAAGAAAAACTATCAATTTACTGTTAATATTCCAATTTCGAGTTACTCTGCGCGATACTTCAAAAACAGAACAAGATTGCAGCGCTCTCAAATTATGCGTAGAATTATGCATCTCGACATGCATCCGGGAAGATAAAGTCTAAGAACAAATGACTAATTGTAGGAACGCATTACACGAAAATGGTCATCAACACGTAATTTACATAAGAAATAACATTATCGTGTATCCGTCAGGATTCCTTGATGTGTAGTCTCGATTTCGTTTCATTGATGTTTTATTCATTAATTTTTATTCATTAGTTTTATTCATTAGTTTTATTTATTTCATTAACATTTTAATATTCATCGAGTGCATTGTCCTATAATGCCCGTTCGTAGCGACTGAATACGTCCGTTATAAATATTTAATGCTGTTCAGCGGCGACTACACTGTTCAACGGGGAAAAAAAAAAGAACGAAGGTAATCGTTTCTCACAGTTTTTTTAGCGCTGAAAATTATCATGTTTATCAAATTCGTTTATCACTTCACAAATTTGCGTTAAAATTACAAAAAAGAACAATTTCAATATTTTGTTATACTATATGATATGTGATATGCCGGAGAAGTTTTATCGCGATCAAAATTAAGTATGTTGTTAGGACTTTCAAAGTTGCGACTTACAAGGCCAGTTACGACTTAAGAATCCATCAAATATTAAAAAAAAAAAAATGTGTGTATTTGGAAATACACGAAAAATTTATTATTTCATATATCTCTCACGGCGTGCTGCTCTTATTTGCTTTATGTGATGATATTGATTATGTTTTAATTACGTTATTTAAATTTAAACTGGAGCAATTTAATAAACGAGATTATATTTAGCACCGGAAAACTACGGGAAATGGTTAGCCTTTTTCTTGTGTTTAAAAAAAAGGTCATTTTTTTGTTAAACAGTGTTACTAACCATTAGCAGAAATCCATTTTTGTTCTTCTTCAGCAATCGTATGGCCTGCGTTGTCATATTCGCTAACGAGGGTATCTCGTCAGTCTTCACGGTGTGGAAGGGCATGTGACCAGGTGAGAAAACACCAAAGATGTGCGATGTGTTAGCTATATCGATGGACATGAGGTCCTGCATGTTGGTGACGGCTCTTCCTTTAGGATGACTCGCTTGCCATTCATCCACTAAGTTTCTGCCATCAGATCGCTCGCAGGTGGAATCACTCATATTCAATTTCAAGCCCATTTGTTGTGCTCCGCCACCCAAGATAACCTTTTAAAAGATATGGATTTAATATTTATATTCAAATTGCAATAGCGAATTTAGATTATTTGAAATTTGAATACAGGACATATCGTAGATTTCTAGAAAAATGTTACGAAGCAGGATAAGCTTGATAGGATTATATATATTTCCCATTGTGGATATTTCTAATTATAATGTGATAAATCATTTTTTTAAATAATAATAATAATTTTTTTATTATTATGTTTTATTGTGTATTTATTATACACCATTTCTATTTGCTGTTAATTAGTTAGATTTGAAATTATATTGATCTATACAAATGTAAAGATGCGCAGATGCGATAAATTACCTTAAACTGACTTCCTGGTTCATCCTCAATGAGTTGTCTTGCGATGTCTTTAATGCATGATTGTTGATCCTTCGGTACCTTACTATCGCATTCCCAATGTCGATGATTAACGTGCGCGTAAAGTCCCGCCGGAGTGGCATGGGTGATGCGAGTAGTGGTAACAAATCCTGTTAATTAATCATGCACGAGTTATTCCTCAAATTTGTTTACTTCTGAATAACAATAACAATGATTAGAATTAAAAGTCTTCAGTAATTTCATAGATTAGGATCTTAAAGTAACGTGATATATTTAATATGTTATATAAATATAAAACTTCTGTCACATAAAGTATGTATACTATATATTATGTTGCAATTTGTAAAGATATACTTATATTGTATTTCGACGCGCATATTCTGACTGTACGCTGATGATTTATTCATGCAGAGCAACGTAACGAAAAGATGATCACTGGCGAAGCTCAAGATACAATGGGAAAGGAATGCGTTAAATACTAATCAGCGAGTTATGTAAAAAGTTTCCATTATTTTGCCAAAGTAGAAATCATGGCCGACCGATCGTCCGCGACACGGTAGAAGGTCGGCTTATGACCTCTTCGTTTATTGAGTATACTTTCACTGTGGTGTACGTATGACTTCAACAAGGTTCATTCAGACTAACACTTATGTTAATGAAATAGCCGATCACGCATGACACATGTTCTTTATAGGATTGATACTCGTAATCATTCGTATATCACGTAAGTACAATTTATATTCGAGTGCCGCTTCTAAAAATATCCTTAATAAACTAAATGTTTCTTCTCAGTCTAGTTTCCTCAATTTGATACATTCTCAGCAAAAGCGCGTTTTTA